ATGTATTGAAGAAAAGCAGGAGACTCTCAGTTTGACATAGTTATAGACCTCTATATGTATCTGAGGGCTGGCTTTTTCTTCGGACAGAAAATAAGCATTGCCATTCAACGTGGCAATGCTGCCAGTCTTCTGGGAACGTTTCCCTATGATAGTGATGCGGACGAATACTTTGACGCCTAAATTAAGGGTGTAATTTTTGTTGTATTCTTTTTTACTTTCGTTTTATTTAATAGTTTAGTTGTAGTTAATTTTAAGTTTTAAATATTTATGTAGTTATATATGTTTTCCTTACTCCTTTCACATTAAATAATGTTTATGTTTGTGTTCGATATTCCCGCGATTGGCTGAACCAATTTCAATGCGGTTTTTCAGAAACGTGTTTGCAACACTTAGCGAGAGGTTTTTAGTACGTATATTAATAAGACGACTTCAAAAAAGAGCGGGGCCGAGGCGTTGCCGACCTTTTGGACTTCATTTAAAGATTAAGAAAGCCAAGCCTGTGATTGGCTCTTTGTTAATAACAAGTTGTTTCAGAACACAGAAAAAGCATTTCCCGCTAAAAAAATATCGATAAGTACTAAATCAATTGCGTGACTCAAAACTGATAAATTCGATTGTTTTATGTTGTGCCCGATAATGTAACAAAATACGAAATTACATAATATTGCCACAAGAGTAATTCCCCGTAGGTATAAGGTGTATAAACAATGTAATTATATAATAATATAATAAAACCGCACCGCACTAGCCATTGAATATTGTTCCGATTGCGGCCATAGATGTGAATTTGATAAATATAATGTTTAAATGACGCCATGATGGCGAATTAAGAAAATCGTCTGTCATATCAATTTGTTATTTATAGATGTAATTAAGTAATTAGATGTAGGTACCTATTGTGTTGTTAATTTTTTTATTTTATTTATAAATTTTATTTATAAAATAAAAAAATTAATGTTAATAAATAATTAATAACTAAAGTGTCATATAAATGTGTTTGTTCCGCTTTCACGCCGTAACTACTAAACCAATTGCTTTGATTTTTTGCAGCTGAATAGTTAGGAGTCCGGATTAAATAATAGGGTACTTTTTATCCCGGAAAAATTTGATATTCCCGAGGGAAAACCAAAGTATTGGTATAGATGGCGCTGTGTGTATTGGTATATTTCACATTGGATTTTATTCTTTTGTGACGCGAGCGAAGCCGCGGGTAAAAGCTAGTTAGAGATAAGGTAGAAGGCAACTTCCGATGCACAGAAAATTTTGAAAGAGATTAGGTTGCATTTTACATAAAAACAACTTTTGTTATTAAATGTGTATTGTTTATCAAATCTTATACTATTATATAAAGCGGAAGAGTTTGTTTTTTTGTTTGTTTGAACGCGCTAATCTCCGTAACTACAGGTCTGATTTGAATAATTATTTTTGTGTTGGATAGCGCATTTATCGAGGATGGCTATAGGCCAAACATCACGCTACGACCATTAGGAGCTAAGCAGAGCGTGTGAAACCGCGCGGAAGTAGCTAGTAAATAGATAAAGGTTTGCGTCAGTCGCTGTATGCAGGTCGCTGCCAACCTCGCGATGTGTAGTCATTGGGGGAGGACTGTGGGAGGCAGTGGACGGTACGTGGCTGATTGTACGTAGATAATGATAAAGCGAAGGTGAACTTGACCTAGAAATGTCCTACGACTGATACCACGACCTCACAGGACAACGACGTGAAACAACGCTTGCGTTGTGTACAGACGTCTGAGGGAAGTTACCCGGAGGCCCAATTTTTTTTTTATATTTGTTGAGCCGACGTTTGACCACTATCTCGCCTGGAGGTAAGCGATGATGCGGCCTACGATAGAGCACGTCGTCCCAAAAGCAACCTATTCACTCGGGCCTTGAAGACACCCAGGTTATACAGGAAATACAGACTCTGGCAAAGAACTCCACTCCTCAGCAGTACGCACAAGAAAGCTTGATGGGAAACGCTTCGTGCGTGTGGGTGGGACATCAACCATGAATCGATGCCGATTCGCCGATTGTCTTGTGGTACGATGATGGAAAGGACTAGGGGGAATCAAGTTGTGCAATTAACCCGCACACTCACCGAAATGTATGAATGAATGAATACACTCTCGTGAATGGTCATCCTATCACTATAAGACTCGACTAGGGGACTACATTTGACAGAGACCGGGCAGCAGCGCTCTCTGATAAACCTGAACCTTTTATACTGCGATCTCCCACCGTACGCTAAGCATAGATTTGTGACAAACCCTCTTATGTAGTGACACCGGACACCTGACACCGGATGGTCATTACATTGATAAAAAACAGATTACAGTTTATCTTTTAAAAAAGATAAAATAAACAATAGAATTTACACAAAACAAGGAAAATTAAAAATAGATTTGTAGGTTTTTCAAGTATTACTGGGTTTTTTAATAATAAAATTCTCAGTAGTAGCACGGAGTCTGGAATTGTGTCCGGTATATGACAATATCTTGCCCCCTATTACATGGGACTCATAACATAAATAGTGAAAAGTGGGTGTTACATTGTACAGTGGCATTGAGTGCCGTAATATGCACCTCTGCCTACCGCTTCGGGGTAAAAGGAGTAATATTATAATGTAATTTAGATTTTTAGGTAAATAAATAAATGTTAACATCCATTTACTAAATTTTGTTTGCATTTACTATCTTCGGGATATATTATAAACAATTTTCCGGAATTCGACTTATCTTAATTACTAATAAGACTTATCTTAATATAAGGATATTGTATAAATAACATAAATTCGTAATGCAGAGGTTGGTTGAGGGTGTTACAATATGTATAATGTAACACCCACTTTTCACTATTTATGTTATGAGTCCCATGTAATAGGGGGTGAGGCTATTGTCATATACCGTGCACAATAGAGTAGTTGCCAGGGAGTGAAAAAATCTGCGATACATAATCTAAATAAAATTAGCGTCCTCCTCTCTTCTACGTTGCCGTGCCCTACAGGGTCCATACTGTACTATATTATTATGTAACACCTTTTAAACATATGGAGTGCAATAAACGTATTGAGTATTGAGTATTTAAAATCTAATTAGTCCGTCAGTTAGATAATGAAAAAATATTAGACACATATTTTTTTATTTTCTATTATAAAGTTACAATAAGTAGTTCGATAAAATGGAGTTAAGTTTATGAGTGGGAGGTCATTACGTTTTGTAGCACTTTGTGACGTCACACAGTGTGTTGTGAGAGAAGAAAAACTAAGTACAAGTCTAATGTTTTAAAATAATCTACCAGACAGACATTACCCATAAATCCCCAAGCGGTCACCGGTGACCGCTTTCCACTAATATTACATTACATTATAGACCTTATTTCTAATGTTTAGAGAATACTTTTGTATGACCAAATTTAGGGGATGGATATCAACGGGTTAAAACAAAATTTAGGCAACTACCCTTTTCCAGACTCTGTGCTACTACTGAGAATTTTCAAAAAAACCCATGTTTGACAAGAGTCTATGTAATGAATTAAGTAGTAAAATAATGCTGAAAAGAATGTCCACAGTAAATACAGAAAAATTAGGCAACTACCCTTTTCCAGACTCTGTGCTACTACTGAGAGTTTCAAAAAAACCTTGTTTGACAAGGGTGTATGTAATGAATTAAGTAGTAAATAATGCTTAAAAGAATATCCACAGTAAAAACAGACTTGGAACACAATTAAATTTTTGTCCCGCGCCATACAGATTAGTCTGTAAGTTCCATCACATTCATACATCGGCTCTTGGGTTTTTAAAAGTGAAAAACATATTGATTACATAAAATTAATTGAATACTCACAAATGACCATCTTGGTCTATCGTTAGACAATATTTCCAGTCCATTAAACCTTGTTGTAGTAGCAGCTTCATTCGTTGTTCTGGTGGCACATGACGTAACATATCTTTTAAGTCGAATGGTATCCGTTCATCCCCAGGACTCTCAGGAGACTTTAAGTTGAATATTCTGTATGGTTCCGCAACACCACATGGTTTACTTTCATTATTAATGTCCCTCGTATGACGATCAACGTTACTAATAATATTTAACGGATTGTCCATTAAATCTGATGTTGTTTTAATAGACAATGAGGAAAACCGTCCCATACTGTTATCCGAATTAGAGTCTTCGTCAAACACAGACCCAAGTTCGGGCAAATTAACTTCTGGCGAGGACTCGGTCTTAACAATCTCTTCTTTGAAATCTGCAAACTTATCCGGAGATATTATTATTCGACGTGGCTTCTTAACTTCCTTCGGTGAATCCGTAACAACTTGAGGGGCTAAGTTCAGTCGGCGGCTCCGTCTTTTAATTTTCTTTGTGAAACCACTTAAACAAGTCTCGTGAGTCTGCGAAATTGTTTCCACATAGTTTTTATTCACCATATAACTCGCATCACTGAATTGTGTTTGGCAAGACGCAGTATTAGTATTCTTAGGAACAGTCAACAAGGAGTGTATGCTACGAATTTTCAACTCTTGACTTAAAATTGAGCACAAGGAACTAAATAATAAATCGTAATTACTTTGACCGATTAACTTGGTTATTTCTTCAGAGGTCTTCTCGTACAACTGTCCTGTGTGGCTGTGGCACCTCGCAATAGTTTTACAAGCCTTAGTCAATACATTTAGACGGTTCACTATCGTCATACTGCGGGCTTCCCCCGCCATGAAATCACCTTCTTTAGACGTATAAATCACATCCTCTTGAAACGAATTCTGCAACGATTTCACCACTTTAATATTCTTCCCTAATGACTTGATGCCTTTTTTAATTATAATCTTCCTGTTCAGTATTAGAGGTATCTTTTTCACAGTTATAGGTTTCGCGTCTTCCGTAGCCATTGTTAACACTTTTGTATTGTTTTTTACACTTATTTTAATGTCGTCACTGTTTGTTATCGTTAACACTAGAGTTTGAATGCGCAATTGTAAGCTGTACGAACCATATTCATGGTTTTTTGAAATAAATAACAAGTTTGAGCACTGGGGTAACCCCCCGATTGTGACGTTTACCTATAAAGCATGTACCTATGTGTTGAATATTAGGTTACATCACGCTATACGACTGCGATACGATGTTATTGCGACTTGTTTATTCAAACCGATTTAATGACATCATTCACGTTATTGTATTTTGTTTCTTTCCCTGTCTTCATTCAAATATTAATACTTGTCATAATGTATTTCTTTCTAATCAATAATTGATTTATTTATGTTTTATTTATTTGAACATGATTGGTAGACATTTAATTTATTGAATCGTTAAAACGACGTAGTTAATTAGATATTGTTTTTGAATGATTACTTTCATAAGTAGGTACAAATAAACTATTGTATAAAATTAAAAATTAATATTATACTAATAAAAATATTATTTACACAAAATGGTTCTTGAAGAATATTAAATAATCAAAACGTATTATCGTAGTATTACGTATTTCTTTTTATTTAATAGTTTAGTTGTAGTTAATTTTAAGTTGTAAATATTTATGTAGTTATATAAATTATCGTAGTCATGTCGTATCGGGTCCGTATCGCATTAATTAAAATCCCCCAGAACTTTCCATGCTGCGGCATTCCCCAGAACGTTCCGTTCCAACTTTGTTTCCTTGACCTATTTTGAAAGTTAACGAAATAAAATAATTTTATAAGTGATTTTGCTATTAACTAAAAATACATAAAATACGTTTTTAATCTATTGCAAGAATATTTGCGTTGATATTCACATTAATAATATTTTTTCCCACTATATTTCTCAGTTTGACTTTTATGATTTTTGCTTGTAAAGGAATATGTGGGAGCATCAACCTTGGCCTTGGTACTTGTTTTGAAGTGCGTTCAGAATACTAAGTTCGTTAAAAATCTGAATTTATTGAACTTGTTTAAATTATTTTTTTTATTTCATTGATTTTATTCAAAAAATGCTTTGTAGTTGATACAGTTAAGATCTGGTTGTTTTATTAAAGTACAAGTATTTTTCGAACTAATAAAAAATATAAAGTTTAAAGGGGAACCATTAAAAAGCCACTTGTGGTTGAAAAATAAACAAAAATAATTAATGATGATTAGTTTATTATATGAATCTCAATATTAATGGTATTTTAAAATTTACTGTTAAGTTTCTATATTTTTCTTTTTCTTTTCTTCTACAAGTATTCGATCTTATTCTAAGTTAGCTTTCTTAATTTGATTTTTGAGTTTAATTTAAAAACTTTTTAAAAGGAAAAAAACATTGCTTTGATATTTATAAATTCAAGAATCAAGTTTTGAACTCCATCTTTTATATAATATAAATGTAATAGCTAAGTTTTACGGTTACTATTACGTTTTAAATTTTCAATCAGTGAATTCAACTCAAAACGTAGATAAAAATGTATGAAAAGAACTTCAATATGTTAAAGAAATAGTGTAACTGTACATAGTGTCAGATAATTGAATGAAAAACGTAGGTACCAAATTAACAATGCAATGCTCCAGTTTTTTAATTAAGATTAGAGACTAGGTTAGGTATTTTGTTTTTTTTTTGACCATGGTCGTCCCATTGCAGGCCAAAGGCCTCCCTAACCTCCTTCCACTGGTTTCTTTTTATAGCTTTCTGTGGCTAATCCTTTTCATAGGCGTCCAGTTCATCTATAGGGTACCTACCTAGATATATTACTAATAAAAAAATATTTTCAACCGTTAATAGAAGGAAATATTTCAACATTAATTTACCTAGTAAGTATGTCTGAAATCTAAATCAATTTTACATATAGGTAAAATATAGCTATAGAAAAATAAACTGAAAATTAAAGAATTTTAATTGATTAAGTTAGAAATTATGACATAAACAGGAAGGAAAGCTAAACAGGACATTGCTGTTGTAAAGTTACAACAATATATTATACTAACATGGAAATCTTATATGCAGCTTAGCGTTTATCATCATGCAAATTAAACAGGTAAGTATACAAAATTTCAGTTCAAAGAGTTGAAGATATCTGCTTCAAAATCTAGTTGCAAGATTCCACTTCATACACACACACACACATATATATACACATACATAGCAAGTTACATGAAAGCGTGTAAAAATAACAGGTATACGAACGCTTGCCAATGTACTGCGTCAAAGCATATTTCTTTAACTAGGGGAATTCCCTACCAAGACCTATGGTCACAGAACATGTAGAAAGAAAACAAAGAAGGTTCCCTTTGTACAGTACTCAGTTTTTATTAAGATTAAAATAACTTTCTTTATTAATTTTTTTTAAGTTTTTTTTTTGTTTGGTTTTGGTGTTAATGAGTTTGGATTGGTTTATAATGAACTCTAAATGTGTCTACACTCTCTCGGTGTTGTCAGGGACTTAGAATATGAGTTTTTCAAAATAAAAGCAGCCCTATGTTACTCCTTAGTACATTAGCTACCTGCCAATAAAAGTCTTGCAAAATCGGCCCAGCCATTTCAGAGATTAGTCAATATAAATAGACAAACATTGTAAAAAAATATTTTGGTACGTGTTTGGTATATGCATGTAGTAAAAAGGGGTTATTTTAATATTACAAACTCACACTACAATTTAATTTATCTGTAAGTATAGACCTATTGAATGTATTTATTTATTTAAGCTTCATGCATAAAATGTACATAAGGTGGACTTAATGCCGCAGGCATTTTCTTTCACCTTTGGGTGATGCAGAGAAGAGTTAATGGTGTGAGCAAGAAGCAAGCAACGAATTATGGTCATAATAATAATGGTTTTTTTGGAGTATACCTAATATTAAAAATATTGTAGTTTTTAGAAGTTTTTGCTCCTAATTAGATTTTACTTAGATTAGAACTATAAAATCAAAATTAATATGTAAATGTACAAAATAAATTATTCATGTCCAAATATTTAAACACCACACAATTATAGGTCGCACACACAGTCATAGATCTACATCTGTGGTCGCGCAAGTATAGTTCTGTCTCCACAAATTCTTTGTAAAACAACAGAGATGGCACTATATTTAAGTACAATTTAAAATTGAGTCGTCTTTCAGTATTCTGGCGTTACTGACTATTAAATCATAATTTCTTTTGATTTCTAAATAATATAACATCTTCAAGTGCCAGGTAGGGTTGCCAACTTTATTTGGAAGAAAAGATATACTCTAATATCTGATTTTATAGGAACTAAAGAATATTTTTTAAGATTTTTTTTAAACGTTGCCCCACACAAGGATTTTCTCCTGTATCGTGGGTGTGTTTACAAACATACAAGTTCACTTGCACATGACACCCAGACCCGGAACAACAATCTGTGGATCACACAAAGAGTTGTTCCGTGATCACACAAAGAGTATTTCGGAAAAAATATTACAATTTTGTTGTATCCTGAAATTCCTGGACCTCACACTAAGGTGTCGTAAGGCTCAGGCTCCTTAACAAACAGTACAAAAAACCTCAATGCTTAAATATAAATGTGTATTTATGTATGTGTGTGTGTGTGTGACTGTGTATGAATATGTGTGTATTTGGGAGTGTGCGCGCGCGCGCGTGTTTGTGTGTGAGTGAGTAAGTGTGATTCATGTTTAGAAGGTAAACTAAATAAAGAGTACCTACTTTTCATAACATAACAGAGTGGTATTGTGTCAATGATTGAACTAAAGTATTTGTAAATGATAACTTATGATGCTCTCAAGCTGAAAAAAACTTGAGACCACTGTAAACAGCCCCCCCCCCCCTCATTAACATTAAATTTTAGACTTTTTATTCTGATCATGGGTTTTTTATTACATATTTGCCTATTATTACAAACTGGCACTAGTTAAGTAAACAATGTAAAAAATAGTACTTTAGCTTACTCTATTAGTGTTACAGATTATAGAACACGCCTAAGTATGTACATTCTATTTTTTTTAAAGGGTGAAAATCATCGATTGACTGCTCCCGCCTATGTGAGGCGGGAGGGAGTGTCAGACTCTTACTGACCAAAAACCACCCCGTTCCTTCTCCTGCACGTCGAGCCGGAGCCCCGGTTACCCGTTAGGTTCTCCGCGACTAGATATAGATAGAGTACGCTTACATGGTATAGGGGCATTTTGACTTTTAAGTGCACCCATATAAAAATATGAGTATATTTTTAAAGTTGCTGCTTAAGATTTTTAAAGGTATTTTTTTTAAAGGGGGGAAAATCATCGAATGACTGCTCCCGCCTGGGTGAGGCGGGAGGGAGTGTCAGACTCTTACTGACTAAAAACCACCCCGTTCCTTCTCCTGCACTTCGAGCCGGAGCCCCGGTTACCCGTTAGGTTCTCCGCGACTTTTACAGGTACAGAACAGCCTAATGGCTGTACTAAAGATCTAAGCATACATAGGGACTGACAGACGGCGGATAACGACTTTGTTTTATACTATGTAGGTAATGATTAATAGCATCATC